TTGGTGGCATGTGCCCAAGAGTTTGTCCTATTCTAAGCCCAAATTTGTGCAAGTAACTTTTTATTCTCCAATGGGCCATCAGTGCCACTGGTCTGTTCCAACGACAGTGCTGCTGGTGTATCTGAGTATGTATGGAAGCATCATGTGGCGTTTCTGGAAGGCATCTCTCCATTCAGTAATGAGGCATTTTGTATTTGCCACAAAACACTAAATCATCTATTTTTTTCTCGAATAACATTAATGCTACCCACATTTTTCAATTGTCGTTTTGATGAGAATATTTCATGATGAAATTTGATGGGAAGGTTTTGGATTGGAAATTTTAAATTGTTTGTTGTTGTTTTTGTTGTCTACGTCTGTTCATACGTAAATCGTAAGCAGAGACTCGCTGATTTTTTATTTGGGCACAATTTTACTAAGCTCTTATTCAATCATTCTTCTTCTGGATTCAGAGGCACCTCTCCATCGTCATTTGTAATTAGGATACTTGGTGAGCATGGCAACACTTTTGTGCTTCAGACGCTGTCACAAAGTTATCATCACATCTGTGAGGAGTTGTGGCCCTGCCCCCCTCCCAAATATTTGTTAGCATATGATCTTAACGTCGTGGGATTGTTTAACAAATGGCTAGTCTATTGGAAACAGAAGTACCCTTTACTAACGAAATAAACGCAAAACAAATCGGAGTATATTTCTGGCCTTGAGAATTGGAGGTAATTGAAAGTAGACGCATAATTTGGACTGTGCTCACATTCTGTTTTTTTTGTTGCCACAAAGGTTTTACTCCGTCACTTCATTTCATCTCCTGCAACTTTTTTTATGCTTGAATTTGCTGCTTTGCCTTAGTACACCCAGCGTAGGTGCCAGACAGGATGGCTTCTTTTCAAACCAATCGGGGTGGCAGAGACGTTGTGGCGGGTCGGGGAACCGAGTGCAGGGAGAGTAGGGGCAAGGGGTGTGCATATGGCCACCTGGCGTTCGTAAAATACCCCCCTCTCCCTACTGGTCGAGGCGCGTCGCGATCGTTACACCACCATCGAGTGGAAAACTTCGGTGCTGAGGCATCGCATGCATAACCACAGAATGTCTGACAATCAAGTAAAAGTCCAAATTCAGCACTCCTGTAGTTTACAGGGATAGATAAAAGTCCATTGTCGCATCCATCTATCAACCAATCCATCTATTACCTTCTTCCCCTCACATTTTTTCCTCTCCTATTTACGCATTCACATCCCATGGTGGCGCCCATTGGCCCATGCTAAAGTTGCGGTGATGACTATGTTCTTGTCCGTTTGCGAAAGTGTGAGAATGGCCCAGATTGGTTCCCTTCTTACGCGATTGTTGGTGGAACGAGACGATCCCCGGCCGCAATCTTGACCGGCTACCGAAATCCCGTCTCCTATTCACGTCACCATCCTCGATGACTACCTTTGAGGTGGGAAGGTGTGATGACTTGTGTCTACCGCCAGCCACACATCAAACACCGCAATAGGTCTGTGATCATTTAGCTCATACCTGCTATTCATACTCCAGTTTAACATCCAAATGTCACCAGAACCAGGGATCCATAACAGCACTACTTGTTGACATCTGTTTGACGTAATTCTTTTTAATGCATCTTTCATTTCCACTTAACGTATATTACTAATAGGGACTGTTGTATCGAGATCAACTTTTTAGGGCTTTATGCACGTAGTATGAAATCCTTTGGCTTTTAGGATTCGTTGATAAATGCTTTTGGGATACAAAGCAGCCAGTGAGCCTCTAATTGACTCCGAACTTGGTTCTGAGTTTCTTGAAACCAAATTAATAGAAGCTACATTAATGAAATAGTAAAAAAGGTGGATACTAGTGGACATCTTTGCAAACATTATTAGCAGGTCGTGATTAATTGTTTAAATCCTGGTAACAATGGTGTCTTAAAAGCCCCACTTGATGCAGCTTCTGTGGTGGGAATAAGTGACAATGAACGCAGTTTGCATGAGTGAAAACGTTGTGTGATTTTGAGAGGAATGTGTATCCAGTAGTCAGATCGCATTTCTGCTGCTGACCTGTGATTGTTTGCAAATTGCATCAAATTGCAATTTTCATCATTGCAGCACCATTATGACAAAGTTGTTTCGACTGCTCATTTACTTCGTTATTTATGTCTATCTCCCATTGACGAAATAACACAAGTAGTGCAAAATTTTGAGCTAAAGTATGCAAGCATTACACATTGGAGTTTTTCTTTTTGGACTGCTTCTACTAATTTGCAACTCTTTGACCTCTAAAGCTCAAACAAAATTAATCTGACGCTCATCTACCCCCGTATTATTCAATATGTGTTGTACAATTGATCAAATCTGGTTACCAGGGTGATTGTCTTACCATCACCATTTGTTACTAAGAGTGAAACGGATCACGGTAACAACTACAAGTATTTACTAGTGTAAAACTGAGTTTCGTTGCTGCCGCCTCCATCGATGCCCAAAAACTGCATTTGTGAACTATCAGTTAATTTAAAAATCTTACAGTGAAATGCTTTGAACTTATTGGCAGCATGCATTGGCCAAATGAAGGAAAAGCTTGCATGATATATGCTAATATATGCACTTGACTGACATGTAAAAAAAATTAGTTTTAAATGAACCCAACTATATCGATATGATCGGTTCCTTTTACTCATGGTGCAGTGATTTACTTCACAACCAACAAATGATATCACTAAGTCTCAGGATGACCGTGAACGGAGCATTGTGAATTCATATTCAGCGAAGGCTTCAAAAAATACGTATCTAGTTCAGGCGATGAGGCTAACGATGATTCGATATCGTCAGTTGCTATGGGGATCACAATCTACATGTTGATGATTTAATACCTCTATGTTGGACTCCGGTGCCGGACGCCTTTGTGGTTTATGCGTTCCAATTTGTGGATAAGTGGACACGCAGTACCCCTTCTCAAGAGAATATCTCTTTCCCTTCTACCCACCTCACTTACTTGCCTACCTGGACCAAATATAGGCCGCGGAGATATTGGCATTGTTTGCTCGTCTTATGTCATCAAACAGACATGGTGGGTGCACAAGTGGGTGTGTGTATAGTGAAGAATGGTTTAAGTAAAAATCCACTGTTACCAATGCTGTTGAGTTAACTGGATTGCCATCACTCAACAAAGAAATGAATTGGTGCATTAACCTGCTTTATATGACCTAAGCTCTCATCCAACCAGACAGTATCGAATAAACGAGAAGGTACCTTAAGGAAAGCATTTGTAGGGGTGACATTTTGCCGTTATTTAACCCAAATTATTTCATACGCAACTGAGATACCCTCAGGCGGTTTGGATTCAGTTAATTAGCCAAAAGGTTTTATGCCCCTAGGTGTAGATTGGCGCTATATCAACATTTAAAAAATACAGTACTTTCTTCTATTCCTGCTTCCACAGTTGCAAAACTCTTTCAAGTTGACTTCACCGCTCCCTAAAATACATGTTGAATGCGCAAAGTATTTACTTTGCGAATATCAAATTTTTGTGCAATTTGATTTAAAGGCAAGAAGAAGATTTGGCGTCAGATCTAGCTTCAATTCGGGGCCAAACAATAAATTCAAAGTCTCCATTGAATGTGACAACAATAGGCCTTTCCTATTGGCTGATCGCACAATGTCAATTATCCAATAGAATGAAAGCCTGCTTCCGATCAGACCAAGAAAGCTGATTGGTGAATGTATTTCATTTATTTAAAACAAATATAAAACCACTGTTCCACCCTAAATCACTTGAGGATGATTCCTCGTTTTTTGATGAATAGTTCCCAGTAAGATGCATCAGTGTTGTCGTTTCATTTGCTTGCACCTTGATTAAGGTATTTTTTGCTCTATTTTTGGACTTAAACCTCACGGCCCACCCATTTTTTTTAGTTTCATGGGTACACCTGATTATAATTCGCAGTTTCCTCTCCATGACTGCTATGATGCACTGTTAACGGAACAAAGTTCTTCATATCAAGCCCCTTATCCACCAGATCATTTGTATCAACAGTGTGCCCAAAGGCAATACCATGACTATCATCAGTCTACGTCACATGAAGCCTGGTTATCTTTGCAACACTCTGGGAATTATGGAACTGCAGCAGATCTCCAGACTGCCATATCCGACGATGCAGTTGCCAGCATCAGCAGTACCATCAGTAGCAGCATCAGTGGGAGGAGCGAATCAACCAACTTTATTGCCCCAACAAGCGACGCGACTTTTGCATATCCCCTCTCACCGGAGGCCAGGGAAAAATCGAAAAATGCTGCTCGCAAGCGGCGTAAGAATGAGAACAATGAATACGAATGTCTGTCGCATTTGCTCCCTTTACCCACTACCGCGAAGGTAATGCTGGATAAGGCCTCTATAGTTCGTCTAACGACAAATTTTCTGACAATGAGAGGAATGCTTCTATCACGTAAGTCAATGTTAGCAACTATCTTTTGTGTGCCTGCAAAACCTTATTTATTTTTATGATTTAAGGCTAGCAAAGAGATTAGTTTTGTTTTTAGCAGCAGCGCACTGATAAGGTCATTGCTTTATTAACGTAAAAAAGTCTCGAGCTAGTAGACCAGTTAAAATTTTACTTAAATTTCTCTCTTTGACTATTTTAATACCTCCGTGCCCATGCAATGCATTCAGAGTTTTACAACAAAATAAAACCCAAGATGTCATTATGGTAGATTAATCTGATTCACACATAGTGTAAGGCTGCCTTGCAACAGAAACGAAAAGTGATGGTAAAAAATCAAAAATAAAATCTACTTTAGACTCTAACTGCAGCAAATTTCCTCCATACACAAAAACGTGCCATGTGTTTCTGCTAGCCCATTACATGAGCAAGTAGAGAAGAATTATCAGGAAAGGGGTGGGCGATGGAGGCACCCTCAAGAACAATGGCCCTCAAAAACAAAATAATTAAGTAGTGAGCTGAGAAGATGATGGTTAAATTAACCTTTTAATGTCCTTTTTCTCTCTTTTTTTGTCATATTATGCCAGATGAAAGCGTCACAGATTTTTATGACATTAGACGGAGGAGATGCTGGAGAACAAACAGGGAGAAGTGGGAAGATGAGAGGTAGGCAATGAGGGCAACCGGGGCAGCGAGTTTCATCTGAGAGAAGCGTTTTCGTATAGTGGAAAGACTGTCCTTATACGAACACGCACTGTAGTCAGGAGTGAAGTAAACAGTTGCGCTATTGTCGCAAAGCATTACAGATCCCAGTAAAAAGATACAGAAATCACTTTTAGGGAGATCAGAACTACATTTAATCCCCAAGTAATAGTTACTTCAAGAACTAAAAGCGTACACAATAAAAACTATTTACAATTATGACAACTTTTCTATTGCAGATGAAAGAAACAAACTCCAGGGTTTGCCGACACAAAGTTCCTTAAGTAACATTATGCTTGAGGTAATTTATTCCCATCTTATATACGCACAATAATAATATTATTATTGGCTCATCTTAAACAATTTAGGCTCTGGATGGTTTTCCTTTGATCATCTCCGGCTCTGGCTCGGTAATCTACATTGGCGAAACTGTAAAAACACTACTGGGCTTGGCTAAGGTGAGAAATTTGAATCGATTTCAAGTAAACCCTCTTCTTTACTGTAGTGGGATGTGACAGGGGCTCCGTTCGTGGCCATTGTCAAAGAGGAAGACCAGGAGGAACTAGAGGAGGTTCTCGAGTTGCACCCTTCGGAATTGAGTCAAATAGATCGCCTGAATACAGGTGCTAAAGTCTCAGTAGAAAGCTTACCGATCGACTTCCTGTACAGTGAATGTTGCACATTTCCCAGATGTTTGTGGGAATTCTATCCCAGTTCAGTTGTGTTTTAATCATTCCCAATATAATTTTATCACATCGGGCTGGATTGAGGAGGGATGGAAAAAACGTAAAATACAGTAAAGGTGATGTTGAAAAACATGTCACCTCTCCCCCTTTCCATGTTTGTAAATAAGCCAGGTTTTATTGCACAAAATCCAACGCCTCCCTGACCTTGCATTCATCTTCCCTCCTCTCTCAATCTCCATTAGAATTTCGATTCGAGCGTCGATTTACCGTTCGAGTAAAGTGCGTCCTCTCTAAACGTAATAGTGGACTAAGCTCCGAAGGCTACAAGGTAGGTCAGCTAAATCAAGAGGCACTTTTTTGTAGAATGGTTTGAAAACTATAATTGTTTTTATCGTAGGTTCTGCATTACGGAGGGTATATCACAGCTGGTATGTTTGATGTCAGAGGAGGTCCTAGAAAGGTGGTTCAATGGCTGTGTGGAATCGCCTCCACTTTACCCTCGGTGAATGGAAACTCGACTGATGTTAAGATGAGTCGGGATATGTTTATGTTTCGTGCCAGCCTAGGTTTGGAAATAACCTATGCTGATGAACAGTAAGTATTTCTTTGTGAATGAATCCGTCTCCTGCGCTTAACGTATCCAGGTGTTCAAACTGTCTTACATGTGCTGAAGGAAGGATGTTTGGATCCATCGACCACCAAGGAAAATGTAATAAGGAAATTCAAAAAGTTCAAGTAGCATTTGAGCTTAAAAGTGACCCCTTCTGACTCTTAAGAAATTCAACTCACTAGAAGTGTGGATGGAATGCCATTTTTTATATTAAAAGAGACACCTCTGATTTACTCATTTTTTCAATGCCCTAACTTTTGATGCCAAAGTTAAAAAATTATAACTTAGCATTAGCACGCGACTAATCATGAGCTTAATCCGAAGCGTGTCAGACAAGATATCATGTGTGTCACGTCCAAAAAGGTAAGGGTTTGGGGTGGTGCAGAAACTAAGTTGAGTCACGATTGCTGAAGGAACATTTTATAACGTAAATAAGCATCAAAGCAAAAGCAGTGCTGTGTGCTTAAATTGGCTGATTTAGGGTTACCACAACCTTCCACTTTCGGCAGGCTTCAAGTCCTAACCGGTTACCAGGCCAGGGATATCATCGATAAATCGCTCTACCAGTTGATCCACCTTGGAGACGCCAATGAGCTTGAAGAGTGTCACATAACACGTAAGATGTATTTCTCAGGTCCTTTTGTAAAGGCCGAGCCATAAGTTCTTGACGGTCCTTACTTTCGTCTTTACAGTGTTAACCAAGGGTCAAGTAACAACGCGCTACTTTCGACTTCTATGCAAACATGGTGGATGGGTGTGGGCCCAAACGCATGCAACGATCCTCCGAAACGCTCGTGGGTCAAAGTCGGACTGTGTAGTCGGTGTTACCTATGTCCTCGCGTAAGTTATCCACCACGAACGTAATGGAGGATCAGCTTCCCTACAATAAGCGGCATAAGGTTGTGTTTCTCATTAAATTGCAAGACTTCATACCCATCTAAAGTATTTACCGAAATAATTCTATAGGGGCATTGTGCATATTCTGCTAAGTGCATATTTCTCACTGTAGTTCCCAATTTAGGTGGTCGGCTAATGGTAGTCAGCAAATCGCGTTTCGGAAAATTTCTTCCTTTATGCTAAGTTCTGTACTGTTTGAAATCTCACGACATGGTCATCAAGCGATTCATATCATTTAAGTAAAAGTGAATGCATATCACAACGCTTGAAGTCCACAATAAAAAAGTTTTTAAACAAGTGATAATGCACTATGCGATAAAAAATTAATGGGAGGGTTTAACACAAATTCTATGAAAATAAACCTTAAAGTTGACGTAGTGGCTAGAAATATTTGCGTTTAAGGCACTATTCAGAGTCCTTAAGTTATGCCTCTGTACCTGCAGCAGATTCATTAATGATGTAACTTGTAAGGTGGTAATGTAATCTGCCACAAAGTAGTCAAGTCGCTTTATTGTCAATCTACTGTCGACTGCGATAACACAGTTACTAAGTTATCACGTGGCCTTTCCTCTGTCTGCGTGAATCGACCCCCTGAGAATGAAGAGGAACGTGCCAAGATTCCAAACCAGGTCAGTGATATTGCGTGACCAAGGTGGGTCAGATTTCCTCTCCCCATCCAATCCCCCTGTTTTAAATCCAATGGTCTCACGTGTTAGAAAAGCGCGGACGATTGCAACAACTTTTGACCATCTCGCTGCGTGTTTGCTGACAATTTCATCCACACCACCTGCATGGCCCAGTTATGCGAAGGGAGTGCTCACACTCATCTTTTCGGCATTTTCCTGCTCAAGTACGCATGCACACACACACACAAGCACACTTAGGATGGATGTTCGTGTTCCTGTGTGCGGGATTTTGTAACCATTTGTTAATGTCGCTACTACTACTGCAACTGCCGCAGTCGTCAGAATTTCCATCGAATTTGCCAAACTTTCTCTACTACGATGGATGTGAACTGGTCTGCCTTCTCATCATCTTCAGTGTCATCAATAGCGATTCAACATGAAAGCTTTAACCATTCGCCATGATGTTAAACAACAGCAAGATCCGTAACTCCAGTTTTAAGCGGTGATACAAAAGAGCTTGTTTTGTTTATGATCAATTCTACAGTTCTGTAGAATCCCTTTCACGAGGATAGAAATGTTACGATTAACTTTAAAAGTTAAAGAAAAACAACAACAATAAGTCAGAAATCTTTTTTTACTCATCTTTGAACTATGGGTGAGTAATTTCCAACTTTGATGAGAGCCTCATTCAATAATTTTAAATTAACTTATACCTTTTTTGCTTTGATGAAAAGAAGATGCTCACAAACCTGAGTGTGTGCTGCGAATTTGTGTTTATGGCGCCACTCAGAGTTCTTGAATTATGACCCATTTCCTACACTATCAGCACGTAATTTGGGTTATAAAATAAACCACATTTCTCACATCTACACACCGCATGGCAGCATAGCTTCAAGCAAAGCTTTGATGTTTTCGTAACTGAGTAAAGATAATTTTTTCTCCTAGGGAAATTCAAGCGGCCAGGAGGAAGTTCGATGTTAAACAGCTCCAGGTCGACTCTATTGAGACTTCAAATTGCGGCCGCACTTTGGCTTCGAAACCCACGAATTCATCCAGACGCAAACGCTCATACCCTTCACAAAATGCTCTACAAATCGAAGCATTGCAGCCTCTCTACAACTGTGAATCAAGTGTTCCTATCTCCAATGTTGATTTTTATCAAAATCTTAATGGAGGCACAGAAGGTGGCGGAGGGGACGTATGGTATGTTTCTTCCAATCCTTCAACCTCTTATCAGCCTCCACCCCAGCCGAATCACGCCGGCTTAATAAGTGATGCCTACGCAAATCAAAGTGGGATCGTAGTGCAACAACCCACAGGGATGTCTGTCTCGCCGTTAAACTTAGGGATAGTGGAAGAGGCTCCTTATTTTGGAGGGCCTTTTAGCGACTCCTCCATTCCCTCATCTTCCGTTCCCTCATCATCCATTCCCTCGTCCTTTATCCCTATGGTTACCAATAGCTACTTGGAACAGTTAGGAAGCTACCAAGTTGATGCCAATTTTCCCGAATATTGGCAGGATCCGTCCTATTATTATCAAAGTTAGAACATCAGATGAAAATGCAACCTTGTGTGCTTCATTGACAGTTAATTTAAATGTATATAATTGAGGGTAAATAAGTGCCATAGTTTGATACGTTTCGTATCAAAGACTTCCAAACTGATGGTTAAGCCCGCTACTTTGTGCAGCTTTGAAGTTATATTCACTATTGCTTTGTTGTAAATCAGAACATTGGAGTGGTAATCACCTCTACCTTTCTCTGTAAATGTTTCGGGACCTTGCATATTAAGAGGTAGCAAAGCCGTTTTTAGTAAAACCGGATTTACAGCTAGTGTCGAGGCGTGTAAAGACCTCTTATCCTCTCCTACTGCTTCACATCTCCTCCGAACTAGCGTAAACCATGTGACGACCCTCTCTTGTAACCTATACAGTTACAATTTAGTGTAATTAAACAATTATCCTACAACTTTCAATCCTTATTCAAAACCAATCATATTTAGCTTCAATTTATATAACTTTGATTTAGCATTTCTAATTTGAACCCTAAATTCAATCGCCTTCATTTAACACAGCCTACTCTCCCAAAATTATGAATTGACTAAACCTGTGTCGCAAATTATCCATACTTGTTGCTTTTAATACCAAAATTAAGTGACTGGAAAAGTTTGGTTCCACAATGTCGCCTCGCAAAACCTGGTAGAAGGTCGCTTATTCAGCAGCACGATAATAGGTACTGGAACATTGATCTGTGCCGTTAAGGAGTCACGAAGTGGTAGTCGTCATGGCACGAGTAGGGTGGCAACATAATCGGGGGTTAAGGATAGCGAAAAATATACAGCTGCTCTTAGCCGCAAGGCCGTTAGCAACTTGGTCTTGATCGGGCCAAGCCGTCTGACACTTCGAAACGAATCAGTACTTCGATGAAGAACAAAGTAATAGGTCAGAAAGCGATTCTCATTTAATCGGCAATTACTACTGGGAGTTGTGAACAGGTTTTAATTTAAGAAAAGATTTGATTAATTTTAATTAAGCTTTAAGTGGAATATGAATTAGCTTTGTTCCTCGTGGACTTTTCAGCAGTGCTGACGCATAAGACCTCATGAGAGGGTTGCTTTGACAAAGAAATTTTATCATGTTTCATATGTTTGCCAAAGATAAATGCTTTTAAAACAAAAAAGTTCCACAGCCCTTTTACATCAATGGTCAATCAATTGATATATCGCAAACTATGTACTGATAATTCTGTTACAGCAAATATTTTGATTGATAACAAAGCTATTTGGGGACTAATTAGCAGAGGCTAATGTGCAGTACATTACGAAACAAATAGTTTTAGGAAGGCAGCACTTAATAAACTTACTACCTTGAAAAATAGAGGAAAATGCTTTGAGTAATTATTCAGATACTCTGAAGCTTTCAAATGGTAAACAAACAATGGGTAAAATTAGCATAAAAAATTTGGTCTGGTTATTGCTTAAACAGTTTTACGAGTAACTTTGCACTGTAATCAACTAATTCCAAGGCTAAAGGTAAGAAACTTCTCCATATTTGTTTAATTATACGAATTCTGACAGAATTAATCCAAGTACCCATATATTAAATAAAATGCTACCAGCAAAGAACAGACATGACCAATAGACATATAATTTAAAAAGATTAAAAAAAAAACCAAAAGTGAGTACGAGAAAACCGTTAAAAGGAAATATCTAAAAAAAAATAAATCAATAAAGAAAAAAAGAAATTCCTAAAAAATGAGGGAAATTGGCAAATCCGTGTAAAAAAATAAAAAGAGCAAAAAAAAGGAAAAGCTATCAGGAAAAAACGAAAAAAGGAAAGAAATAATAGTAGAGAGAAAAATGACAAAAAATATAAATAAGTTGAAAAATAGAGCAAAAAAAGGCCAAAAAAGATAAAGAGTAACAGCGGAAAAGAACGATGAACAAAAGAAGGCAAAGAAAAAAAGGAGGAAACAAATCAACTAAGTAGAGGAAGAGGGAATAAAAAGAAAGAAAAATATGAAGGAAGGCACAAAATGCAAAATGCACCAATAAATACAGAAAAAAGAGGGCAAAAAAATAGAAATAAATCACTGCTCCCTAAA